CCCAGAGGTCTCTTAGGCTTTCTTCGTTACTTTTCATTCTTTTATCTTTATTCTGTTCCACAGTAGTGAATTCCACCATCTGTCTTCCAGGTCACTTATCCATTCTTCTGCCTCAGTTATTCTGCTATTGATTCCTTCTAGTGTATTTTTCATTTCAGTTATTGTATTGTTCATCTCTGTTTGTTTGTTCTTTAATTCTTCTAGGTGTTTGTTCTTTAATTCTTCTAGGTCTTTGTTAAACATTTCTTGCATCTTCTCCATCTTTGCCTCCATTCTTTTTCTGATTTCCTGGATCATCTTCAGTATAATTATTCTGAATTCTTTTTCTGGAAGGTTACCTATCTCCATGTCATTTAGTTTTTTGTTTTTTTTTTTTTCTGGGGTTTTATCTTGTTCCTTCCTCTGGTACATATTCCTCTGCCTTTTCGTTTTGTCTAACTTTCTGTAAGTGTGGTTTTCGTTCCACAGGCTGCAGGATTGTAGTTCTTGCTTCTGCGGTCTGCCTTCTGGTGGACAAGGCTATCTAAAGGCTTGTGCAAGCTTCCTGATGGGAGGGACTGGTGGTGGGTAGAGCTGGGTGTTGCTCTGGTAGGCAGAGCTCAGTAAAACTTTAATCCGCTTATCTGCTGATGGGTGGGGCTGAGTTCCCTCCCTGTTGGTTGTTTGGCCTGAGGCGACCCAATACTGGAGCCTACCCAGCTCTTTGGTGGGGCTAATGGTAGACTCCAGGAGGGCTTACGCCAAAGAGTACTTCCCAGAACTTCTGCTGCCAGTGTCCTTGTCCCCAGGGTGAGCCACAGCCACCCCCTGCCTCTGCAGGAGACCCTTCAACACTAGCCCGTAGGTCTGGTTCAGTCTCCTGTGGGGTCACTTCTCCTTCCCCCTGGGTCCTGATGTGCACACTACTTTGTGTGTGCCATTCAAGAGTGGAGTCTCTGTTTCCCCCAGTCCTGTCAAAGTCCTGCAATCAAATCCCGCTAGTATTCAGAGTTTGATTCTCTGGGAATTCCTCCTGATGTTGCTGGACCCGCAGGTTGGGAAGCCTGATGTGAGGCTCAGAAACTTCACTCCATTGGGTGGACTTCTGTGGGTATAAGTGTTCTCCGGTTTGTGAGTCACCCACCCAGAAGTTATGGGATTTGATTTTATTGTGATTGTGCCTCTCCTACCATCTCATTGAGGCTTCTCCTTTGTCTTTGGACGTAGCATATGTTTTTTGGTGAGTTCTAGCGTCTTCCTGTCAATGATTGTTCAGCAGTTAGTTGTTATTCCAATGGTCACTCAAGAGGGAATGAGCACACGCCCTTCTACTCCGCCATCTTAAACCAGTCTCTCTGAGTTAAACTCTGCCACAAGAGTTATTTAAATTCTTGAGGTGTATTAGCATGTGTGCTCTTTTTTTTTCTTTCACTAGTCCCGATTTTCTCTTTCTGTTTTATTACCTAACATGTTGTGATATGATAAGAAATATATATTTGGTCTTTGTTCTGGTTTCTGGCACAGAGACCCTAAAACCTTTGTAATTACTTGAATGATAAGGGTGAGAGGAATGTCTTTTCTTATTCATAATAAGCCTTTTGACCATTCTTGTTTTTAAGTTAATGAGGTGACTCTCCATGGGACCCTAGGTAGCCTTAGGATGGGGGCTGTTTGCCAGAGGAACCAACTGTGCAATTAGATGGTTGGAACTTTCAGCCCCACACCAAGACCTCTCAGGAGGGGAGAAGGGCCAGAGACTGAGTTAATCACCAATGGCCAAAGATTTAATCAGCCATGCCTATGTAAGGAAGCCTCCACTGAAGTCTTAAAGGACTTGGTTCAGAATGATTCCAGGTTGTTGAACACATCCACATACCAGGAGGTGGTGGTCTGGAGAGGGCATGAAACTCCTCACCTGTTCACACATATGTTGCTCTGTGTATCTCCATTTGGCTGTTCCTGAGTTCTATCCCTTATAATAAACTGGTAATAGTAAGTAAAGTATTTTTTTGAGTCTGTGAGCCATTCTAACAAAGTATGGAACTCAAGGAGAGGGTCATGGGAACCTCTGGTTTAGAGCCTGTTAGTCAGAAATACCAGTGACAACGTGGGACTTGTGACTGGTGTCTGAAGTGGGGGCAGTCTTAGGGGACTGAGCCCTTAACTCGTGGAATTTGTGCTAAATCTGGATAGTTAGTGTCATAATGAATTAAATTGTAGGACACCCAGCTGGTGTCACAGAGAACTGGAGAACTGCTTGGCATGGAAAACCCACACATTTGGTATCAGAAATGTTGTGAATAGGAAGAAACAGAGTTTTCTTTTATTACCCTTATTTTATATTGCCATACCTTTAGGCTTTTCTCCAAGTCCATTTTGGAAAGAAGCAGGACCAAAGTAAATTCAATAAATAAAATGATAAAAATATAGTCTTGGGCTTCCCTGGTGGCGCAGTGGTTGAGAATCTGCCTGCCGATGCAGGGGACACAGGTTCATGCCCTGGTCTGGGAAGATCCCACATGCCGCGGAGCAGCTGGGCCCGTGAGCCATGGCTGCTGAGCCTGCACGCCCGCAGCCTGTGCTCCGCAACGGGAGAGTCCACAACAGTGGGAGGCCCGTGTACAGCAAAAAAAAAAAATATATATATATATATATATATATATATAGTCTCCCAACTATTAAGATTTAGGCTTGATCTAAAAGCTGTAGCTTAGTTACTTGTTTGTTATTTTAGGATTTCTCATCAAAGTTTTCTTTTTCCCTACTTCTAACATTGAGTTGTTCCCAGGAGTTCTTTAAATTTCGAATTGTACTATCTTACCTGTATGTTTGTAGTTTACATTCTTCATAACAGTTTACTTTTGCCCCTTCTGTTCAAACAGTAAAATCTGTCTCCCATAGCATAGATTGCCTTTTCCTAAATGAAGATGCAAAATACAATTCCAAGACCTCTCAGCTGTTGGAAAGTTCCTTATATATAACCTAAATCAGTGAAAACCATTTTTTCAAAATTAATTAATTTTTGGCTGCATTGGGTCTTCATTGCTATGTGTGGGCTTTCTCTAGTTGTGACAAGTGGGGGGTACTCTTTGTTGTGGTGTGCGGGCTTCTCATTGTGGTGGCTTCTCTTGTTGCGGAGCACAGGCTCTAGGCACATGGGCTTCAATAGTTGTGGCATGCAGGCTCAGTAGTTGTGGTGCACGGGCTTAGTTGCTCCACGGCATGTGGGATCTTCCCGGACCAGGGCTCGAACCTGGGTCCCCTGCATTGGCAAGCAGATTCTTAGCCACTGTGCCACCAGGAAAGTCCCAGTGAAGACCATTTTTACTTGCTCTGTCCCAGCTGGCGAAAACAAAACACTATACAGCTCAAGCTATATGGTCTATTGAATGAGCAAAGCCTTACTGCCCAGTGCAAATAACATGAAATATAAAATTTGTTAAAATTGAACAGTTGAAGAATATTGGTAGATGAATGTTTTTAATTACAGAGTGTCTTCAACTCTGATAACTGTGCATATTAACTACAATTAATTTGCAAAATAATACATCAAAGAAATCAAATCACTCTAGCAGTATTGTCTCATTTTTCTAAATGCATATCTAGAAATACTATGACTTGGAAGAACTTAAGATAAAAATTAATGCAGGATAGCAATTAACGGTCATTCAGGCTTCAAAATTAATCTTACTCTGATAAATACCAGTTGAGCTCTACATGAACCTCTCTGAACCTCAATTTCCTCTTCTGTTGCATAGGAATACTAATATATTGTATATACATAATTTCTTGTATATTATGATGTTTTGACATCAGAAGAAACCATTTTAGCTACAGAGAGACTGCCCCTCCCTGGGCTAGCTGATTCTTAGAGATGGCAAAAGGCCCAGCCTGGAGCATGGCTTTGTTATGCAAGCTAACCTATCCAGAGCCCTATCTCTTCTATCTGGCATGTACAGAGGCAATATTCCTCTGCCTTAATCATCCCAGGGCCAGGTGCCAGGCAACTAGGGACCACCCTTATAGGCCAGAGCCAAATGACATTATTCAAATTCACCAATCCTAAACTGTTTACCCCGCCCTGCTTTGCATTTCCCATGGAAACCTCAATGAAGTAGCTTAAGTGCTTCCCCACTCCCCATCCAGTTTTCTGCCTTCTGATCACCCTGTTTTTTTCCACGTGGCCCTGCTTGGTGTGCCTCCTGCCTCTAGGACCTGTGAGTATAATAAACTTCGTTTCTTCCTAAGCCTCTCGTCTGACTCCTCTTGTGGCCTCACCTGACTGACCATCTCATTAAAGAATATAAACAACCAACATGTGTCTTGCAGAGTTACTGTGAAAATATAATCAGTTAAAATATAATGCTGGGCTTCCCTGGTGGCACAGTGGTTGAGAGTCCGCCTGCCGATGCAGGGGACACGGGTTCGTGCCCCAGTCCGGGAAGATCCCACATGTCGTGGAGTGGTTAGGCCCGTGAGCCATGGCCGCTGAACCTGCGCATCCGGAGCCTGTGCTCCGCAACGGGAGAGGCCACAACAGTGAGAGGCCCACGTACCGCCAAAAAAAAATAAAGTAAAATATAATGCCATCATTACAGCGCCTAGTATGTAGAAAACCTTCAATGAATGGTTGCTGTTAGGAAAAGTAAGCCTGATTAGGAGGTATAACTCCAACATTATGATCTGGATCACTGTCCAATGCTCATGCTTTATCTAAATATAAAGCCATGGAGTGTCTGCCCCTCTGTCTCCTGACGTAGCATCTGGGATGGAAAGGAATGCTGACCATTTCTGCATTATTATGAGCACATCAGTTTTTTTTTTGTTTGTTTTTTGCCACAGGGATTTCCTATCTCTTACTGTAATAGAGGCTGGAAGCAGAAGACCTGTCTTTCAACAACAGGTATGAATTCTGCCAACAGACTAGCCAACTGAAGCTCACGGAGAGGGAAGGATTCACCTGGACTAGAGACATAAAGAGTTTATTATTTTAATGAAATAAAGATGAAAGTGACACATACCAACTCAAAAGAATGAAAAGAAAGCACCGTCTGGATTTGATATCCAGGTTCAGTTTCTAGGAGCAGTGCCAAATGCTCCCTGCCTGGCGGGAGATGTCCTCTCAGCTCATGTCAACCCTTGGTGAAATCAACTCAAATTTCTTTATAGTCTAGAAGAGAGATTTATTTTTTTCAATAAATAATTCAACAGGTATCTATTGCATAACTCTCGTGTGTGTTGTACTGCGGTACATCTAAGTCCTATCCAACCTTTCAGTCTGGGATTGAAGACAGCTTCATCCCTTACAGTCATTTAATTTGGTTTTCTTTTCTCAAACGCCCCCCCCCCCCCCCCCCCCCCGCAAACCTGTAAAACAGATTATTGTCACCATGCTCTTGCCTTTTGTATGGTAATGAATCAATCTGTTTTACTCACCAAAAGTAACCTTAGGATGGGCTAGGAGAAAGGAGATTAAAACCTCATGGGTCAGGGGCTTCCCTGGTGGCGCAGTGGTTGAGAGTCCGCCTGCCGATGCAGGGGACACAGGTTCGTACCCCGGTCCGGGAAGATCCCACATGCTGCGGAGCGGCTGGGCCCATGAGCCATGGCCGCTGAGCCTGCACGTCTGGAGCTTGTGCTCCGCAACGGGAGAGGCCACAAGAGTGAGAGGCCCGCGTACCGAAAAAAAACAAAAAAACCTCATGGGTCAGATGTAAGCTATTATATATAGAATGGATAAACAACAAGGTCCTACTGTATAGCACAGAGAACTGTATTCAATACCCTATGATAAACCATAGTGGAAGAGAATATTTAAAAAAGAATGTATATATATGTATAGCTGAATCACTTTGCTGTACAGCAGAAATGAAAACATTGTAAATCAATTACTCTTCAAATAAATAACTAAGTAAATAAATATTTTTTTAAGATGTCCAAAACAAAAAAACTAATAGGGCAGGAATAAAGGCTCCCAAGGAATTTAGTAACATCCTGGAAACTAAAGGGGTCACACAAGATTCTTCAAGGTATAGATAATGTGATTTATAACCTGAAGGAATATGTTGGCCTTACCATCTGTGGTAAAGATTTGGATCTCCTTAGGGATGCTTCCATCTTTTCCCATTGACCTACCTATGTCTTTAAAACTCATTTTCTCCACTAAAGGTTTATTTGGCAAGCTGTTTGGAACTTTATCACTTTATTAATATTATTTTTTAAGAAATCTGCATGCTGCTTGAAATATGAAGAGTAAGATCATCAGATTTTCAACGAAAGCATAGTCAAGAGTTCTGCTTCTAGCAATGGTGAACTAGAATGTTTTGAACCAACCCTCTCTTCAAGAATTAGAAAAGCTACCTAGGTGGTAAGGAACTGGGTTCGTGGGGTCTGGACATGGGAACAGAGGGAACCCCCCAAAAATGAGCCTGAAATTCCCCGCTTCGCTTCTTCAGGCAAATGTCAATTCTAAAAGTGGGAGCTGAGAGGTAGGACCCTGAGCGGAGCTCTCAGCAGTTGTATGGTCGGGGGAAGAAAAGTTAGAGTTCAGAGCTTGCCGGGGAGGATGGGACCTGGGCAACCCCCCAGATGTTCTTTTGGAATCTCAGAGGGGTATACCTGAAGAGTAAGAGTATGCTGGCTACAGACTAGCCTCACAAAGGTCAGAGCCTAATTGATTAGGTGATCTCTACCTGCTACCGCTCTAGCCCAGCTGCCCGCCAGAGGCCAAACAAACCCTCTCTGGAGGAAGACAACATCACCTGTGGCCACAAATCATCTCTGAATGTTTTATATCAAAGTCTGGCTATCAATTCAAAAGTATCAAGCACATAAAAAGATGAGACTGAAAGAAAAACAGAGGATGATAGAAACAGGCTTGCAGGGAGTATGGACATTGGAGTTATTCAATAGAATTTTTGAAAATTAGGATTAATATGTTTAAGAAATTAAAAGGCTGGCTTGAGAAATTTGGCAGAGAACAGGGAATGAAAATAAAAGTTAAAAAAAGGCAATTCTAGAATTGAAAACACAATAACTGATACTAAGGATTCAATGAATAGGTTTAAATAACAGATTAGATACAGTTGAAAAAGAATCAGATGAGTCAGAAGAAAACATCTAGATTGAATCATGGAGAGACAAACGGATAGAAAATATACAAAAGAGTGTGAGCGACATCTGGGACAGGTGAAAAAGTCTAAAACATGTAATCGTAATCCTAGAAGGAGAGAGACATCAGGACAGAGAGAATGGGGCAGAGTAAAGGTATGTAGAGATAATGGCTGAGAATTTTCCAAAATATTTGCAAAAATATCAAGCCAGATTTAAAAAGCGCCATGGGGACTTCCCTGGTGGCACAGTGGTTGAGAGTCTGCCTGCCGATGCAAGGGACGCGGGTTTGTGCGCCGGTCCGGGAGGATCCCACATGCCGCGGAGCGGCTGGGCCCATGAGCCATGGCCGCTGAGCCTGTGCATCCGGAGCCTGTGCTCCGCAATGGGAGAGGCAAAGCATAATGAATCCCAAGCAGGATGTATACAAAGGAAACCACACCTAGATGATGCTGGTAAGATCAAAGACAAAATCTTAAAGCAGGTAAAAGAAAAAAAAGACATAAAAAATTCATTGGCTATTCCTACTTCCTTTCTTAGGGTGGGGCTAAGAGGAGAGCGTTGTGTGGCAGGCCTGTACAGACCACAGGTGGTCAAGTGAACTTGGCTTTGCTTTACTCTGTGTTTCTGTCCATTGTCAGTTACTTTGGGGAAGCTGAGGCAGCATTCCTCATTTTCAAAATCCTTATCGTGTTTTCTTACGACAATGGATATTGTATTATATTGGTACTTAAATCCTGCTCTGCACCATATATATAACTAACTTTGAGCACTTGTGATGTGGTAGCCCCTATTACTATGCCCAATTTTAGGTAAGCGAGCCAAGGCTTAGAGAAGTTAAGTCATTTGGCTAAGGTCAGAGGGCTAGTAAAGCCTGGGTCGTATGATAGTTCTATTTTTAGTTTTTTTAAGGAACCTCCATACTGTTCTCCATAGTGGCTGTATCAATTTACATTCCCGCCAACAGTGCAAGAGGGTTCCCTTTTCTCCACACCCTCTCCAGCATTTATTGTTTGTAGATTTTTTGATGATGCCCCTTCTGACCGGTGTGAGATGATATCTCATTGTAGTTTTGATTTGCATTTCTCTAATGATTAATGATGTTGAGCATTCTTTCATGTGTTTGTTGGCAATCTGTATATCTTCTTTGGAGAAATGTCTATTTAAGACTTCTGCCCACTTTTGGATTGGGTTGTTTGTACTACTACCATACAACCCAGCAATCCCACTACTGGGCATATACCCTGAGAAAACCATAATTCAAAAAGAGTCACTTACCAAAATGTTCATTGCAGCTCTATTTACAATAGCCAGGACATGGAAGCAACCTAAGTGTCCATCAACAGATGACTGGATAAAGAAGATGTGGCACATATATACGATGGAATATTACTCAGCCATAAAAAGAAACAAAATTGAGTTATTTGTAGTGAGGTGGATGGACATAGAGTCTGTCATACAGAGTGAAGTAAGTCAGAAAGAGAAAAACAAATACCGTATGCTAACACATATATATGGAATCTAAAAAAAAAAAATGGTTCTGAAGAATTAGGGGCAGAACAGAAATAAAGACGGAGATGTACAGAATGGACTTGAAGACACGGGGAGGGGGAAGGGTAAGCTGGGACAAAGTGAGAGAGTGGCATGGACTTATATACACTACCAAATGTAAAATAGATAGCTAGTGGGAAGCAGCCACATAGCACAGGGAGATCAGCTCGGTGGTTTGTGACCACCTAGAGGGGTGGGATAGGGAGGGTGGGAGGGAGACACAAGAGGGAGGGGATGTGGGGACATATGTATATGTATAACTGATTCACTTTGTTATAAAGCAGAAACTAACACACCATTGTAAAGCAATTGTACTGTAATAAAGATGTTAAAATAAATAAATAAATAAAACCAACAGAAAAAAAAGAAGTAAAGCCTGACTTCATGGCCCTGGCTCCCCTCACTTATGTCATCCAGTAGAAAGAGTAAACTCCTGATGGGAGATTACGACTCAACTTTCCATTCTCTCTCATACCGCCTAGGCTTTACTTGCTAAAATAATACTAACAACAACCCTCACAATGACAGCTGACTTCCTGGAGCACATACAATACAGCAGGACTCATTTACTTCTTACATCCTTCTTGTGAGGTAGGTGCCAGTATTCTCCCATTTTACATATTAAAACACAGAGAGGCACAGAGAGGTTAAGTAACTTGCAAGGTCACATAGCTGTTCAGTGGTGGAGCTGGAGTCCAAAACCAGGCAGTCTGGCTTTAGAACCTGTTTGTAACCATCACATTTCCTGCTCTTGCTATACTATTATTCATTAATAAGAGAAGTAGAGCGAGAGAGAGTGGACTGTTTCCACCAGGACAAGGTTGGAAGCATCCTAATCGTGGCTGTTAAAAATAGCACACACCTTGGCTGTGAGAGACCGTTTTTTGTAGAGATGTCCAAGTGAAGGCAAATGATCACATAGGAAATTTCAAGCTATTCCATTTGGCTCTAAGGACTTCTTCAGAACCTATGCAGTCATGTGTATTTTCCCCACAAGGTGAATTCTTAACTCATCTCTTTACCACAATTATTTTTATCACGTATTTTTCATTCTCCTATTTCTGTCTCTCCCCAAGTTCATTTTACTTTTACCTATCCCTTAGGTTAAAAGGTATATGAACTGGCTTTCTATCAGAAATAGTCCTTTGCTAGGTCCCAAATACGTTGAAGCTGGACAAACATGCTAAGGCCCTCAGAACTCGTTTAGCAATGTTTAGAAGGAGAAAATCACCGTGAAGAGAACAGGCCTACTGCTTGGGGAAGATGGTAAACGTTAACAGATGCCGGGAGGAGGCAAAGCCTTTCAACAGCTGCTGTTCTTCAAGGAAAATGGAGCATCTTCACATTGAAGAGAGTAGGGCAAATGTAAAGCGAGTCATGACTTTACAAGCCACTCTCTACAAAGGAATTAAGTTATAAAATATGATGGTCTGATTTTCTCTAAGGCCATAGATACCTAATCCAACAGCGTAATTAACATTGAGTTGTAAATGTCATCAGTCTCAGAAGAGTGAATCCGCAACTCTTTGGTGGAAGTATTTCAAAGAAGATGCCATTATCAAATGCTCCCTTGCTGTCAATGGAGTGAAACATGTAGAATTTCTAAAACAATAAGGCTTCACTTGGTCTTAGGGCTCATTTGGTTGCAAGGAACAGAACCTCGCTCTGGCTACTACACGTAAATGAGGATTTATTATACAGCAGCTCCTCATGGGATTCAAGACAGGAAGGAGAGTCGAGCCCCATGGGGAATTAGACTTGGAAACTGAAAAGGCTTCAGGACAATGCAGCTGTTCTCAGGTTGCAAGTTCTCTCACCTACATTTTCTGTTTCCCCTGCCTTGTCCAGTCTCTCCCTGCAGACTGGCTCTCTGTGTGAGCCCCTCGCATGCATGGCCCTTAATAACTGTCATAGCCTCTCATTCCACAAGACCTTGAAGCTCTAATGACCACCGGCACCTGACCCCCAGCCTGTGTCTCTCAGTTCAAATTCTCAAGAGAAAAATAATCAGACTTGTCTGGTTCATGGATCAGGTGTCCACCTTTTATCTAATCAAGGAGGGTTGGGTTTATTTGGTATAAACATAGGAAAGAAGGGCCCAGGGCTGTTGCTCTAGTTGGCCGAGGGAGAGAGGTGTTCTTCAAGAAGAGAGCTGGGAAGAAATCTCAAAATGTGTCTCTAATCACTACGGTCTGGACCCAGGGCTTCAGTGTCCTGGAACCCTCACAGTATCTTAAATAACTACCAAGGACAAGTTCAAATATTGGGGCAGGCTTTGGGAAAAAAGCCATTAAAATGGAAAAAGTAATATATATGTAAATTATTCTCCACCAAATGAGGTTTAAACTCATGAATTACTCTCCACCAATGAAATGAAATTCTAAAATTGAAATAAAAACTTTTAGTGACACATTTGAACATTAACTGAAGATTTTTTAGGACAAAAACCAATGGAGTTGTGTATCTAAGATCAACATAATGTGATACATAAGGCAGACAATATCCAACTCAGGTATATGCAATAAATATTTATCAATACATGATTTTGAAGCAAAATGCCTCTTTATTGTGCTATAGCTTGACTGAGACAATGTGAACATTTTCAGGAGAGTCAGCAGAGAGTAGAATTTTTCATTTTTTCTCTGATACCTTCACCTAACCCGGTTGAAGTTTGTTTCTAAATCAGAGAAGGGCCAGGATCAAGAATTTCCTAGAGAGACAGCTTCTGTTGCTTCCGTCACCCCCAATAGGATCAAAGCCAGAGCAAAATCCTAGCCCTGCCCAGATTTGGGGGCCAGAGAGAGGGGAATTCACAGGATGTAACCAACTGGCTTGACTCAACTTCCCAGGGCCATCATTTCAGATCAGAATTTATCTCTGGCAGTGGAATAGTTTAGTAGCAAAATATTCTCATTTTTTGAATCTTACATTATTTTTAATTTCAATTTTTAACTAAAATGTAGGATATGCAATGTTTTAAATATTCAATGTTTATATCCACTGTTTTAAAAAATGGTTGTACATCCTATTCAAGCAAAAAAAATCATTTGATTATGCAGTTATATATATTCTTTAGAAAATTTTGAAACTTGGATTTTTTAATTTTAGTTTTTCAGTTATAATTAAAGTAAAATTTTTATTTTTGTCTATTACCTTGATTTTGTATTCTGTTTGACGCATGTGTGATTGATCTTTTTTTCTTTTGAAATAGTTTCCATGTCACTTTGTCACTGTATTGTTATTTTGTTTGAACCCTTTTACATTAAACATGTATAATTGAGTGGTTGTCATTTTCAGCCAAAAGTTAAAAAAAAAAGTTTTATATTCTTTTAACACTTGAGGATATCTTATTTTAAACGCAGCTATAGTTTTTAATGAAAGACAAACAACATTCTTCCAGAGGGGAAAGAAAATGTATCTGCAATTAATTGGGCATTGGCACTTGGCATACACTACTTACGCCTTGGCCTTTTTTTTTTTTTAATTTATTTATTTAGTTTACTTTTTGCTGCGTTGGGTCTTCATTGCTGCGTGTGGGCTTTCTCTAGTTGCAGCGAGCAGGGGCTACTCTTTGTTGCAGTGCTCAGGCTTCTCATTACGGTGGCTTCTCTTGTTGCAGAGCATGGGCTCTAGGCTTGTGGGCTTCAGTAGTTGTGGCATGCAAGCTCAGTAGTTGTGGCCCGCAGGCTCTAGAGCACAGGCTCAATAGTTGTGGCACATGGGCTTAGTTGCTCCGTGGCATATGGCATCTTTCAGGACCAGGGCTCAAACCCATGTCCCCTGCATTGGCAGGCGGATTCCTAACCACTGTGCCACCAGGGAAGCCCTCCTTGGCCTTTATTTGCAGATAGGGAAAGGAAGTTGGACAAATAAGCAGAATTTTTCAGTTACTTTTCCAGGGAAAACAACAGTGCTGGTAGGTCAGCACTATTTCTGGTTTTCAGATGAAGAACCTGAGACTTAGAGAGATTAAGTAACTCACCCAGGGTCACACGGCTAGTAAGTGACAGAGCCTGGTTGCTAATTCAGGTGTGTCTGATTCCGAAACCCATGGTCTCTCGCACCGTGTGGTCTGATGGTTCCACAAACTTAGATTCACAGCAGGTATTCCTAGGGCAGAGAACATGTATGTTTGAATTAGTTATAGCCCACTTCAATTTAAAGCTCCATTTTAAGTGTCTGTAGGAGCATGCTAGGGCGGTAGGAAAGTGACTTTCTCACTCCATCATTACAAAATTACACTCACTGTAACGTTATGACAACCCACTTTCTCCTGTAAAAGAGGAGAATGATAATATATTGGCTATAGAGCCTTGTTCAGTAAACTCTCATTAGGTTTGAATTATTATATCAAGAAGTAGACCCACAGACATTGTACTGTAATTACATGAAAAGAGCAACATCAAGGCTTTCTTTTCTCTTTTTTTCCTCAGTCTCAGTCGGTTCTCAGAACACACTCCATCTCCTGATTTCCAGGACGTGGACTGCACAGTGGTCACCTCATTGTCGACCAGGGCTCACAGTCACAGTGGCAGAGGCCTCTCTAAACCTCCCTCATCTCTAGTTCAACCCACTGTCCCTAATCTCCCCAACCCCGGTCCCCTGGCCCTACTTCACCAGACACACTTTGGTAATCCTCTCAGGCTCCACGGCAATAAAGAAAATACTGTGGGTTCATCCAGGTGCATCTGGGGCCAGCGGGGGACACCTCTCACACTCCAATTTCCTTCCTCCCACCTGGCGGGGCCTGGGTCCCCCCATGGACCAAGTGGCCTAGGCTTCTGCCTCTGGTCTGTGCAGCCAAGGCTATTCTATTTGAGTGTTCTAAGATTGATGATCATTACAGTTATGGTAAAAGGAACATTGTTTTTTCTTGGGGGATTCTGGAGATTTTCTTACTGGGGAAAGGTCTCAAAGCCATTTATACTCAGCTGACTGGGTAAAGACTGAGATTAAGAAGAATGGATATGTCACAGCATCTTCTGTAAGTTAAGGTAAAGAGTCATGGATGGAACTAGTAAAAATCAGGACATTCCTTTGGCTTCCCAAACAAAATGTAACGTCTAAGTGAGCACTGAGGTGGTGTATCAGACCCAGGAGGCTGGGGCCAGGAAATGCCTTATCCAAGCACTGTCTGCACAGGAGTTTTGAGCCAGAGACTTAGTTTCTTCCTCCTGATCTCCCCTCAGAGCCTCCTTTAGGTTTTCTGTTACCTTCCTCCTCTTAAGTAAAGTTCCCCCAGAGAGAGAGCCGTGCACATCTGTTTTTGTGAGATGATAAAAAGGAGCTCTAACCATGACAAAGATACCATGTAGAAGTTGCAATGGAAACAGTTTAAATTACTTTTTCCTTCACTGATGAGAAAAAGAAATATTTTAAGTTCATCAATCTAAAATTTCTTATTTGTGATTTTAAGTAGTGAGGGTATTTAATATAATATAAATAAATAATAGATTTATGGTTATTTCATCTATATCCCTAAAAGTTTTTTTTTTTTTTTTTTTTTGGCCTTGGCCGTGCCATGCGGCTTGCAGGATCTTAGTTCCCCGACCAGGGAAGGAACTCGGGCCCCCTTGGCAGTGAAAGCACAGAGTCCTAACCACTGGACTGCCAGGGAATTCCCTATATCCCTTAAAGTTTATATGTACAAGTGGGACAAAAAAATTGGGAGAAGGACTATCTCATGGATAAATGGGGATCCCATCACTTGTCATGAAATGATTGATTTTTTTAATCTCTCCATTTGTTCCAATGTTTGTTTCTATCTCTCAGTAAAACTTAGGTAGGGAATAATATGATGACAAATAAGAAAGATTATTATGCTAGCTATATGTAAATGACCTGGAGAAGTGGAGATCTGGAAGGGAGGATACCGTAGTTATAAAAGAGCACAGGGAACTGAAAAAGAAGTGAGGTTTTCAAGAGCTTTAACCAAGAAAACCTCAACAGGTCTTGATGATGGATCAGGCGTAGAGGATGGCATTATAAATAATGAAGTCAATGTGAGGCCGAATTCGAGGACTGTTCCTTGGGAAGTTTCACAGGAGAGGCAGTATTAAGACTGGCCTGGCTCTGACTGTCTTGATCCTGATTCTTCACCCTGTATCCATCTAATTAAATATTGCTGATGGGGATGGGGATGTTAGCTCTTCACGATGCAGTAGTTTGTCGTTTCTCTAGGCGGTAGTATCAGAGAACCAACTTCTGTTCAATTCCTGCACCCTCATTTAAGGGAGAAAGAAGCCTGAGATGTGAGAGCTCCGAGGAGAAATCGGAAGGAAATAATGGATTCCCTGGCAAGCCTAGTCCCCAGAAATCCTGCACGAGCACAATCCTAACCCTTCTCCTAGGCTGATAGTTGTTAAATTGATGTTAGTGTCAGTTGGGTTGTACAAAGATAAAGGTCCTTTCTTGGAGAAATTCCAGTGAGAACTTGAGCTCATGTTGCCTGATGCCTCAGCCCTTCTTCCTCATCCCGGTCAATGCATCTACCTGGTGTAAATATCTCCTGACTCATATTAGCCCCAGCTAGTGGAAGCAACTCTTCATTCTCACTCTGTTACTCAGAAAAAAACTGTGGGTAGGAAGTAAATCCCAGTAGACACACTAAACATCTCCCCTCCAAACACATGCTAGGGAGACTCATACTTACATTGTTTGGGAGATACACAAACACTCACAAATATTGATAGTTTGGAAAGAAGGACAATTTGATGTTAAAATTCAAAATTAGCTAACTGCTCAAATACTCCAAGTGATTGCATATATGTATGTTGGTCAAAGAGTGCCTGGGTACAAATTGTGAGCTACTGAGTTGGGGTACTATTTAAAACATTATGGCTCTCAATTTTCTCCAAATTAATATACCAGTTATTCAGAAATGCAATTTTAAAAAAATTAAATGAGTTGTTTTATAATTTTTTTTTTGCGGTACGCGGGCCTCTCACTGTTGTGGCCTCTCCCGTTGCTGAGCACAGGTTCAGCGGCCATGGCTCACGGGCCCAGCTGCTCCGTGGCATGTGGGATCTTCCCGGACCGGGGCACAAACCCATGTCCCCTGCATCGGCAGGCGGACTCTCAACCACTGCGCCACCAGGGAAGCCCCTGTTTTTTAATTTTGAAGTATTGCCCATACATGGTAAATCAAATTAAAGCAGCAGAAAACAATATACAATCAAAAGTAAGACACTGTTCTCCCTTCCTGTACCCTCAGTACCACTTCCCAGAAGTAACTGTATCAGTCATGAATACTTTGGCTGCAAGTAACAGGAACCCCTATTAATACTGGCTTTTGTTAACTTATATGAAATTCAGAGGTAGGTGGTATCAGGGTTGATTCTGTACTTTGTGACATAATCAAGAAGTCACCCTCTATTCACAGTGTACCAGCAGTGTCACACCTCATTGCCACAAGGAGGCTAACATGGCTCTAGGCGTTTTCAAGTCAAAGTTTCCTAAGCAGGAGGGAAAGGGCTAGAAGCAGAAAAAGCTTTCTCTTCATGCACATCCTTATTTCCTGAGGAGGGAAATCCTCCTAGAAGCCCTAAGCAGACTTCCCGTAATCTCTCATGCCCCAGACAAGAACTGACTCCTAGCCCTAGACCCACCATGGGCAGAAGAGAACGAGACCTGTGACTGATTTAGGTTCATAGTAACTCCTCCCCTGGGCGGGCACATGGCTGCCTCAACAAAACCAGTGTTCTGTTGGCAAGAAAGAAGGGCAATGGCTATTGGGCAGGCAACCACGAGTGATGGACAGAATGAAAATGATCAACTGTGTCTTAATATCTGCCCAGAAATTTTCTGTATGTATTTAAGTAAATATATTGTGAGTACTATATACTGTATCATATGTATGGATATGCCATATATATGGTCACATATGTATATATATGCACATACACACAAATATCCACACATGATACTTGCTTAAGTATCTTACGTTTTTTAGATAAATGAAGTACTCTATGCATATTGCTTAGCATATAACTAGCATATAGTAAGTGCTTTATCAATGCTAATTACTATTATTCTTACTTATAGTTTTGTCATTATTACAGTCTTTAAGGCAATATACACCCTTTTTAAAAAGAATGAGGCTCATTTTCTAGCAAATGCTAAATTTTACTTTGCCAGTACTTTAAAAAATTATGCCAGCACTTTTATTTTGGGCTATTGAATACTCTTGAAGATATGAGCTGCATAGCTTCTTTTAAGAGAGATAAGAATTACTGTGGTCAGCAGTAAATTCCATTGAAACATAGTGAAATAATTTTGTGAATAATAGCTAGGTGACTAACTGTTTACTTTCTGATGACTATCGAAACACTAATATTTTCTAATCATGTTAATATGCATGCAGAAGTAAGAAGGTTAGGCATGAAACATTTTTTGGTGTATTTGCACAAAATATTATGTTAGCAAGTGAATTTTACATTATTGACAGATTCTTTTGGAAGAAAAAAAAAACTTCACTACTATTGGCCTAATTTATGCAGCACAGAGAACATGAGAGTTGTTTGAGAAATTCTCATTGGAAGAGAAGGCCATCATAGACACTTTAAGCAAAAGCAAAACACTTTTCTTCAAGTATTTGACATAACTGGATGAAAGTCTGTGGGAGTGAAAGGGAGCAGAGGAGGGAAGTCTCCTTAGTTATCCCTGAAATAGGATCCTGACCAAGAGTCTCAGGTAGGTGAATGCCCTTCAGCTGACCTCTTATAGTTCTTAAGGCCAAGCTGTAAAATGGCTTGTCTTTAAGGTAAAAGCAATATCTTTGAATCCAAAATATATAAACAGCTCAATATCAATTTGGAGATTGATATTGAGCAAATATATATATATATATATATGTATATATAAAGCAAACAATGCAATCAAAATATATATATATATTTTAATATATATATATATAAAGCAAACAATGCAATCAAAAAATGGGCAGAAGACCTAAATAGACGTTTTTCCAAAGAAGACATACAGATGGCTAACAGGCACATGAAAAGATGCTCAACATCACTAATTATCACTAATTATTAGAGAGATACAAATCAAAACTACAATGAGGTATCACCTCACACCAGTCAGAATGCCTATCATCTAAAAAAAAAAAAACCCCACAAATAACAAATCTTGGAGAGGATGTGGAGAAAAGGGAACCCTTGTACACTGTTGGTGGGAATGTAAATTGGTGCAGCCACTGTGGAAAACAGCATGGAGATTCCTCAAAAAACGAAAAATAGAACTATCATATGACCCAGCAATTCCACTCCTGGATATGTATCTGGAAAAAATGAAAACACTAATTCAAAAAGATACATGCACCCCAATGTTTGTAGCAGCACTATTTACAATATCCAAGATATGGAAGCAACCCTTGTGCCCATCAACAGATGAATGGATAAAGAAGATGTGGAATATTGCTCAGCCATTAAAAAGAATGAAATTCTGCCATTTGCAGCCACATCAGTGGACCCTGAGAATATTATGCTTAGTGAAATAAGTCAGACAGAGGAAGACAAATACTGTATGACACTACTTATATGTAGAATCTAAAAAATAATACAAATGAATGTATATGTGAAACGGAAACAGACTTACAGTCATAGAAAATAAACTAGTGGTTACCATTGGGGAGAGAGTGGTAAGTTAGTGGTATGGAATTAAAAGATACAAACTGCTATGTATAACATAGATAAGCAACAAGGCTATATTGTATAGGACAAGGAATTATAGCCATTATTTTGTAATAACTTTTAATGGAGTATAATCTGTAAAAATACTAAATCGCTATGCTGTACACTAAAATTAGCATAATATTGTAAATCAACTATACTTCAATTAAAAAAAATCTTTACTCTAGCCATATTGGCATTTTAACACACACACAAAGAAAAAGTGTATCTTTTAGTCCCCCTTTCTCTTTGTTTCTCATCATTTGTCCTAAAATGTGTTGCTAAGTATGAAAATATTATGATTATATATGTTATTTAATCTCTCAGACTTCATGTTTTTCCATTTCTAAAGTAAGTGTGTTGAATTAAATGCTGGCTAAGATCTCCTCCAGGTCTAAAATTCTAAGTTAAAGATCAGTGTTTTCCAGAAGTGATTGGTCAGTAGAATCACCTGGAGGCCCTTACAAACATACAGGTTCCTAGATTCAACCTTCAGACATTCTGATTCATTCATTCATCAAATGATTACTGAGGGCCTTGCATGATATTCTGGATACACAGTGATGAATGAAACAGATATAGTCCCATTCTGCCCCAGCCTCTACAGAAGGACTGAGATTGAAATCAGTAATCTGTGTTTTAAAAATGCTCTCCAGGCAATTCTGACAAGTAGACAGTTTAGAGAAGCAATGTTTCAGACCAAATGCAAACAAGAGACATTTCTGAGGGACTGTTTTAATTTTTCTTGGGATGAACTCAAATCTACACTTTAGAAACACTTCTATTTTTCACTGAAAAAACCTTAAATAGTTTCTCTAAAACATGTGTGTGTGGGTGCCTGTGTATCTTACACTGAGACATAAATGTTAACAAGAAAACACACTTAACAGATGTAGTTATAGTATGCTAGTACTGGGTGAGGTTTTAGCAAATTAACATTGCTAGTTGGTACATTACTACAGACACCTGCACAATATAAAAGAAATTAGTATTTGATGTGGAATACTGAGAGTTAAAGTTCAGATAGCTTATGCAGATAAGTGAGTTATTCATTTTGAATTCTATTACTGACTTTGATTTGATCTTTGAGGAATCTTAATGCCTTAACTACTTTAATGTTCAACATTTGGAAACTTGCTAAAGTGTTTGACTTTATGACCAATGGATGCTGAGATTTACTAATAGACATTTTATGCTTGCTATGGTCACACAACTCTATTTTCCTTCAAATAATACCAGACTGAGAAGTTACCAAATTGAAATAAATGAAAGAATCCCTGTTTCTATGCTACCAAATTATAAACACAATGACGATTTGACCTAACTTCAGGAAGTGTAATTCTAGGAGGCCACCATGATAAATGGTTAACAAAGGAGCTATGAATAGCCAACCCTTAACTGTTTGATCTGTAAATTAGTCAGAGGCTTGATTCCCCCCCCCACCCGCCATGCACACCTACATTCCAATATGGCCAGTAAAAAAGAAAAAGATACCTTTCAAAGCGCTCCATGGCTATTCAGTGTAGTTTCTTTGTATCAATCAGGGGTGCAGCAGGTGGTTCAAATGAAGAGGTTTTACTGCAGGGACCACAAGCATGTGAAGGCCTGGGAAAGGGAATAATGAAGGGATGTGAAAAGCTAGAAGACCAGCAAAAGTGGGAAGCAGGTAAACGGCCTTCGGTGTAAAAAGACAAGAGGAGGAAACCATAGCCCAGACTGGAACCATGGAGGAAGAGGAAGGGCCCATCAAAAGGAGCTGTAGTCTTTAGGGCAGACAGAGTACTGGAGACCCCTCCCTGAAGCAGCAAGTAATACCCTTACCTCTCTCTCCCTTCCTTTCTACCTTCATAATTTCTGCGCATACTCCCCCAATGTCAGTTTCCTGGGGGCACTGGCAGAGCAGGAAGTGGTTAGGGGGTGTGTGGATGATATAAGGAAAACCCTCAGACTCTCTAAAAAGACAATTTATAGCGGGCGTTTAAAACCATGCTCCATGCTTTAGGCATAGACTATTTACTTTGTGGATCCGTGACTGTTTTTAAATCTAAACTCTGTTTTTGATTCTACTTTTTTATTTTCTATGTTTTTACTAAATTCTAGCTGTAAGAATTACATGTTTTTGTGGTGCCTCCTCCTCTCATTAGTTATTATGTTGTTAGTAGTAAATTGTAACCAAGGAGCCAAATCTAATACACAAAAGATATTTTGGATTAGCTGTAAAGTGCTCCTCTAATTTAGGAAGGGTAATCCAGAATTTTACTTTGCTAATTAAAATAATAGATTATATAAATACTGTATGCTAACACATATATATGGAATCTATAAAAAAAAAGAAATGGTTCTGAAGAACCTAGGGGAAAAGGAAAAAAAAGAAGAAAAAAAAAGAAAAAAATAGATTAAATCACAATTCAGTTTATGTGTGCATTCACTCTTATTACAGGCAGTTGGCTGGGCGGTTACAGAGCCTCTATCATTAGCGTGGGTGTGGGCCTGAGTCAACACACACAAAAGCTGTCTTCTTGAATGCTTGGGTAATTGAAAATGCCAAGACACGTTTTACAAATTCAGCAAGGAAAAGAGTAATCAAACCTGGAGGAAAAATTGGCTTTGAGATGCTGCAAGATGAAACAGCAACAGCTCAAATGTCGTTGCCTAGAGGACAACCAGAGTTAGGCTAGCTGCCACTCATGTGACTTCACAAAAGGTTACCCAGAAGGGACAGCACCCACTTCAGGTAGCGCAAACGTCCTTGCCAGGACCTGATGTTCTTGGAGTGCAGTGATATAAAAAGACCAAAGGCAACTTGATCCAGAGTGATAGATTGAACATCATATAAATGATTTGTACATTTAGAAAACAGAATACCTTTCCCAAGAAAAAGCTTGAAAAAGAGTGCATCGGAACACTAGTATCACAAAGAAAGATGCTGGTTACTAGTTTTAAAGGGTGATTTAACGTATTAGTGATTTTACAGTGGAAAAGCTAAAATTTCCAGTGTTTCATTTCTTTTTCTCACGTGTAGAAGTCACCAAAGGTGTAAGGTGGAGGTGGGCAGTAGGAAAGCCCATTCAATTCCATTCTATTTGCAAGTTACAATTTAAGGTAGATTTTGGCCATTTGTGTATTTGCACCTATTTTCAAGTAACCTCAGTAAACTTTATTTCACAGTAATTTTATTGTGAAATAATTACATTGTGAAAAGTCTAAGGCTTGATTCTAAGTTTGCAGCAAATATGTGTTTCCCCTTTCTTAAAACAATGCTTCCATCCTTCACTCCCCTCCACAAAGAACCAAATGGCTTCTCATTGCCAATAAGATTGTCACATGATAACGTATTTACAAATTAGTCTGTGGTTTGGTTCTCTTTACCTAAACCCACTTATAACCCTCCCACTCCACACACACACACACACACACACACGACCAAGTTTGTATTTTTTTTGGCATAAAGGTCTGTTCAGGGTCTAAAACAGACACAACTTGAAAATAACCTTCTCTCTTTTTTGAAAGCCTGAATTCATTGCTAAGGCAAAGCTATGTATCAAAGCCAAGGAGGGGAGAGAGAGGAATGACTTTGAGAAAGGCATTGGTGAGAGGAAAATTTTCCTCAGTGGAAAGTCAATGAGTTCTCTGAAGAGAGTAGCCCTGTACTCCACTCTCTAGAGGTGATCTGAGTTCAGAGGGAAGAGTTGTATAATGGACCTCAAGCATTGGGCTTCCCAGTAGAGCAACAAGTGAAGATTTTTCTCAATTTAAAACTAGCATTAAATTCCTTAACAACATGTCATAGACAACTTCTGATAATGTATGAAACTTTGGTTACGAGGGTGTGTGGTACACAGTCTTAGGAATCATACGCTCTTTCAAATCTTTACTTTTTCTTTTTGGTACGCGGGCCTCTCACTGCTGTGGCCCCTCCCGCTGCGGAGCACAGGCTCTGGACGCACAGGCTCAACGGCCGTGGCTCACTGGCCCAGCCGCTCCGCGGCATGTGGGATCTTCCCGGACCGGGGCACGAACCCGTGTCCCCTGCATCGGCAGGCGGACTCTCAACCACTGCGCCACCAGGGAAGCCCCAAATCTTTACTATTACTTGACAATAAATTATGTATCCTTAGTGAGCCTTAGTTCATGCTTCTGTAAAATGAGGGGTTAATACCCATCAGGCAAGGTCATGAAAACTAGACATTATGAACAATATGTGGCACATAATCAATAGAAATAAATGACTTAGACTTAACTCTGGAGAGTTATAAAATTCTCTTGCACACAAAATTCCCTTACCCAACAGTATTTACCAACTTCCTCATTCTTCCAAAAAACTCTTTGGGTCAGTTTTTTAATTATTATTGTGGTAAGAACACATAATGTGAAATCTACCCTTTTAACAAAATTTTAAGTGCACAATACAGTTTGTTAACCATAGGCACAGTATTGTACATTGTATTTTTTGTACATCGTATTTTTAGAACTCATTCATCTTGCCTAACTGAAACTTTATACCCATTGAACAGCATTGCCCCCGTCCCCAGCCCCGAGCAACCACCATCCTGTTCTGTTTCTGTGAGTTTGACTATTTTAGATAGCACGTATAAGTGGAATCATTCAGTATTTGTCCTTCTGTGACTGGCCTGTCTCCATTTAGCACAATGTCCTCAGGTTCATCCATGTTGTCACATATCACAGGTTTTCCATCTTTTTTAAGGCTGAATAATATCAATATCACATTTTCTTTACCCATTCATCTATTGATGGTCATTTAGGTTGTTTTCATAGCTTGGCTACTGTGAATAATACTGCAGTGGACATGGGAGTGCAGCTATCTCTTTGAGCAACTGATTTTATTTCTTTCAGGTATATACCCAGAAGTGGGATCGCTAGATCATATGGTAGTTCTATTTTAATTTTTTGAGGAACCTCTGTACTGATTCTGTAGGGGCTGGAGCATTTCACATTCCCACCAATATTGTACACGGGTTCCAGTTTCTCCCCATCCTTGCCAACATTTATCTTTTTTTTTTTTTTTTTTGATAATAGCCATCCTAACAGGTCTAATGGTATTTCATTGTGTTGGGTCAGTTTTGTGAACTGCTTTTTCTTCTAGCCCATAAGCCTTCAAAAGAACAAATAAACAAAATAAACAAATAAACAGTATTCACCTAAAAGTTAGTTCTTAACACATTTTGGATCACAAGACCTCTTGGAGTATCTGATGAAAGACACAGGATTCTCTTACCAGTAAAATGCACACATACAATAAATAACACAAATTATTTCTTGAAATGATGGACCCCAGATACATATTTATGAAGGCCAGTTTAAGGTCACTTGCCTAGATTAAGTGATTCTCCAGCTTTTTCGACACCTAATGACTTAACTCAGGGATTAGCAAGTGTTTTCTGTGAAAAGCAGGAGGTTACATACTTTCACCTTTCACCTAGCCTCTATTGAAACTGCTCTGCATTTGCACTCAAAAATTGTTATAGAAAATACATAAACAAATGAGCATGACTGCTTTCCAATAAAATTTTATTTGCAAAAACAGGCTTTGGGCTGGTTTGGCTCTTGGGCTGTAGTCTGGCAATCCATGAATTAATTATTTCAAAGGATTGAATGGATTGCAGTAGTTAAGAACTGGGAAACTCCTGAATACACACATACACAGACACACTATAAAGGCCATACAAATCCACAGTAAGAGTAGCAGCAGCTATATATCCTTTCCTCTGGAATGCCTAAGATGGGATAAGATGATCTTCCCTCTCCTATCATATTTGATAACAATCTTTTAATTTGCATCTGATGGCAGCTGGTGTCTTCTTTCAGTTGTTTTGGAACATCACCAGAGCTATCCATTAGTGCTTATCAGTGACATAAGTCATAATATATTTAATTTCTGACTGGGGAGGTAGCAAACTCTCAGGATTTAGTACACATTTCTCAATACTTAATCCCACCTTGTCTTCTTAAGGACAAGAGGCCTCTTTAAGGAATCTGCTCAGGGTTCCATTCTATTGTCTATTATTACTGTTTCTAAAATTTGTTCTTGGAAACCACTCTTGATGACATTCACAGTAAAATCCTCCAAAAACTGTAGCAATGTAAGTATAAATTCTATACAGTAAATGTCTGTACATTTAAACACCATTGAAAGAAAAACTTGCAAGCATCTTGCTGATAGCTGCCAGCAAGTCTTCGTGAAGAATAAACATTGTCAGACTAACCTCATCTATTAGGATAAAAGTCCCAGGTAGATCAAGAAAAAGAGATAGTTCTAATTTATCTTGGCTCTCAGAAGGTTAGGTGATTCAGTTGTATGAGGCAATAAATTTAGAAAACGTGGTCTGCACAGCATAACTATTAGATGAGAATACAAATTGCTAGAGGGTCAAAAAATAATACAAGGTGTTTCAAAGTCAGGTAGGAGCCTAGATTTTTTTTTTTTAAAGTTTTATCACCAGCCTAGATAAAGAAATAAAAAAGTCAACCCGGACAGTGTCTTAGAAATAGGTAAGTGATTTAAGAAGAAATAGAAAATCTAAATATACCAATGATCACCAAAGACATTTAATAAGCAGCTTAAAATCTAATTCCTATTATCTTGTCCCCAAATATACTGCATGGTTTTACAGGCCAGTGAACGAAGCATTTGAGGAAGACAATCTCTAGGTTATAAAAACTGTACTAGAGAACAGAAACAATAATTTTCTTATCACTTAATGGTGCTAGAATAGCCTTGATCCTGATACCTAAACCAGATCAGGATAACATCAGAAAATGACAATCACATGACAATAATGCTTATGAACAAAGATGATAAAATTAAAAATAAAACATTAATAGCTAGAAAAAAACTTACCTTGAGCAATTTATGTTTTTCCCAAGAGTATAAGGACAGTTTAACATTAGACAATATATTAATGGAATTAGCCTCATTAAAATACTAGAAGGGGAAAAAGAGATGATCACCTCAGTGGATACAAAAAAAGCATTTGCTAAATCAGCAATCTATACATGATAAAGTGGGAATTGAAGGGAACTACCTTGTTCATATACACCAAGCTCAGAAGTAAGAAGGCTGGACATTGTTAAGATGTTAATTCTTCTCTACGCAATCTCTAAATCCAGTAAAGGCTTTTTCATAGAACTTGACAAGTAGATCTTAAATTCTAGATGGAAGAGAGCAAAAGGGCAGGAATAGCCAAGATTATTTTGAGGAAGAACAAAGGCAGGGCTTCTCCCTGCCAGACATCTAGACTTAGAAGGCTGCAGGTCATTAAGACAGTAATTAGCATTAATGATTCTATTCAGGTAGCTTCTGTAAAGCATCCAAGATTTACAGCCCAGGAGGAGGTGGAAATTGAGCTAGGTTTGGAAGGGAGCCTTAGGAATATTGAAAGACTTAGCCCTAAGACTCAAAAGGTAAAATTAGGACGGTTCATTCTGATGATAATTCTAACAATGCTACATAAGCAATAATAAACAGGTAAAAATAATACTTTTCAAGTCTCTTCAAATTTAAAACAAAGAAAGTTAGTTCATAGCTCCCACTCCTTTCCACTGACATAAGCACCTGAGATGCCTTTTAAATGTAGCACGAAGAATGTGGTTAAAACAGAATTTCCTTGAGGTGAGATATGGAAAATATACTAAAGATTTATGGAGAAAGAAGCTAAAATCTCCTGCTGGGGGTTTCTTCAAAAATCAGATTGACTTTAGTCTGTCGGGAAATTTGGGTGCTCAATTTACTAAAGGTGTTGAAATTCATGTTTTGCTACATCAACTATTTCTAGTTGTGTAATTCTGGGAATAACGTGAAGATGCTCTCTTATGGGGAGATTGAGGAGGGAATTGAGCTGTATTAATTTATATGCATTGTTTCCTCTCTCCCCATGAACTTCTTTCACTTCCCCAAATACACACACAGATGCTTTCCCAAAGTAATTATCTGCTCTCAATTCAGCAGCAAACGTGCCTCCAAGTACTCAGTTAAAAATCCAATTAAAGAGTATCATTGTCATCCCTGCATTGTGGAAGTTCTAAACTCAAAATATAATAAAGGAAGAACAGTCGCCATTTACCTAGGAATGTACTTATGTTTTTAGTCTCATTAAATTCAAAGTAAACTGTGGGATGATCTATGAAGGATCTAATAGAAACAATAGACAGGTTTGAAACAAAGAAATGAGTCAGATGATCATTTAAAATTTGCAGTGAAAGTAAATTTGGTTATACAGAAAAGTCACCTTTATTACTATTATATATAGTCAATGCCTAGTTGGTTATGTGTATAGACCATGGTCTTAACTGTGTATGGTAAATTTTTACCCTTATGCTGTGTTTCCTTGCCTATCCAAGAAGTTCTAGCTCACTTTTCTTAATTACTGAGAACTTCGTAAGGGATAACTTTGTCGTTCTCAACAAAATATGTGGTGCATTCCAAAATTACACTGGGATATCTATTATTTTCAGATAATTGAGCGAGCTATTCTGTGCAAAGGAGGAAGCATCATACAAGGAAAGTAGTCTGTGAGACTCCCAGGCTGTGCATACGCATACGGTCCGCTTCTGACTGAAAGGCAGGCAGATGGTGAGAATTGATCAGTAACTGAGCCCAGTCATCAGACATGTGAAGAGCAAGCATCTCTTTTCTCACTGAAGCAGCCCCAGTGACCGAGAAATGGCCTCTCCCTACAGATTACACATTCCACGGTTTTATTTCTTTAATGGTCGTTCAGTAACACTCATTTAACAGATATTTACTAATCACTTCGAGTGAGCCCTGCTCTATGCTGGGACAGGTTTATAACGGTAAACATCCAACTGACATTTGTTGAGAAACTTTTCTTCTCACTTTAGCTTAAGCATATTCCCTTTTGCCTTTTCCTCCTTGGACAGCGAAAATAATTTACCAGTAGTTTCTGCATAAAAGCTATTCAGATGACATAGGCAATAACTGTCACTGCTAATTCTTCTTTACACTGGATTTGCTAAATGTGTTTGAAGAACAATAAACAAAATAAAAACAACATAAACCCAAACAATAAGAAAAGCCCACACGCCTGATGCTTGGATGTATGTCTACAGATGGGAAAGGAAAACCTCATATGCATTTTCACCCCATATGGAAGGTGTTAAATATATAGTATTCATTTTATAAACATTCACTGAGTTCCTACTATGTGCCTGACACTGGACTAAGTACTGAAAGTATAATGGTAGATAAAACAGACTGCTTGGAGCTTAAATTCTATGGAGGGACAAATAATAAATGTACACAGAGGTATGGTGGGGAGATAGCAAGTAACCGGGAGAGGCCACTTTAGTTAGGCAGAAAGCTTCCTTCTAGAAGGTGACAGCAGCTAACACAGTATCTGACTCACATTACGGAAACGTTCAGGATGCTTTAGATCAGTCATCCAGTAAATATTCTCCTCTGTTTGCTGTTGAACTTTGTTTTCTTGCTCGATTATAAATGTTGTTATTCAGGTCAGATAAACTAGACCTACAAGCAAACAAACAAATACAAATGAACAAAACCTGGCTTCTTTAGAGAGCTATGAAAAAGGAATCCTGCAAAAGCAAATAATGATTCTTTTATTGTAAATATTGAAAAAAGATTCTAATATTTGGCTAATTCTTTCGGGCAGAACATTGAATTCTGTTACATTTTTGCTTCCTTTAGATCAGTTATAATGTTATTTGGGGTCACGGATCCTTTTGAGAATCTAATTAAGACTATGGCCCCTCTCTCTAGGAAAATGCATGTCTATTTGAACCATAGGGTACAATTTCAGGAGAGAGACATTCTCTGTCTCAGGTCACAAACCCTTGAAATTATTACCAAACATAAACATTTGACATTGCTAGATGTCAAAATGTCTTATAAAGCTGCAATAATTTAGTGAGTATGATTCTGGTACAAGAATTCAATAGAAAAGAATAAAAGTGAAGAAAGTCCAGTGCATACTTAGTATTTTAAAGGCATCTGGAATCAATGGAAAAAGTTAGATTTTTATAGTAGTATGGTGAAAAGTAACTAATAACATGAAAACAAATATTAGATTTCTACCTCAAACCACCCACTGAAAGGAATTCTTGCTGAGTAAAAGATTTAAATGTAAAAACTAAAATTATTAAAGAATTAGAATACCAAAAATATAGGTGAGTATTTTTTTATCACTGGGTGGGAAAAATCTTTCTAAGCAGAGATCACAAGAAAAAGAGTGACATATATGATGAAATGTGTATTTTAAATTTTATAACAGCAAAACAAAAACAGACACAACACCTTCCCCCATAAAGGCCAATTTAAATTGTAATGTAATTAACAAAAGTCTTTAACCCATAAATAAACCTTTAGTGTAAATCAACTATACTCCAATAAAAATTTAAAAAATAAAACAACTGAGAAATATATATATATATATTTTAAAAACCCTTTACTAATCCTTATATAAAAAATGAAAGTACCAGATGAAAAATGAGCCAGAAATATGTACACAATACTTGACCTCAAAGCAAGAGGTCAATATACGTTGATTAAATGAACAAATTGATGAATTGGCAGAATGTATGTGGCCAATAAACATATGAAAAATATGCAATTATATGAATAATTTCAAGAATGAATATCAAAACAAAATAGGATTTTTGACCATCAAATTGGCCAAGATTAAAACAAAATTCTGATAATGCCTGTGTTGGTTAAGAGTACAGGGATATAAACAATCATACATTCCTAGGCATGTAAACTCATACCTTCCTGAAGGAATATTTGGCATTATAGATCAAGCACTTTAACACAGGAGGCAGAATTTGCAAATTTGAAACTCCATTTAGTAGAAGTTTCTCCAACCTTCTATAACAATAAAAACAACCCCTTTGAGCGTCTTCTGGAAAATTCCTTTCTGAAAGTAAGTATGAAAAGTCCACAGAGCAATGTCAGAAAAGCTTGTGGCACATACATGCCTTTTCTCTCTTTGATGGATCCAGTAAAATGCCCTACACCAAGGCAATAGCATTCAGAATCTGTTTCTAAACTGGAAGATACAATGGCCTTTTCTTTCTGTTTTCTTCTTCCTTCTTTTCTTCTCTTTCTCCTTCAACTATATTGTTAGTGGTACATTATTGTTTGCAATTATCTGCAACCCGCCTCCCCCCACGCCCCCCACCAAGGTTATATACACATCCCCGCCCTGTTAAACTCAGGAGTGGCTATGTAATTGGCTTTTGTCAACAAAATAAGGGAAGTGCAGTATAACGGATCTGAGCAGAATCTTCAGTAGCCAGCTGATAGTTTGCCATGCCTATTTTTCCTTTGCCATGAGACAAGCTACGTTCCTAGTAGAGGCTGCCTGGTCAGATGTGAAGATAATGTAGAATCAGCGCTAACGTGGATATGTAGTGTGAGCAAAAAATACATCTTTCTTGTGTAGAACTTCAAAAGGTACAGGGACTTAGTTAGTATAGGCTGTTTCAGCCGATCCTAAGAGGATTGTGGAGGAGCCTGAATTTGAATATTATCTCTGCCATTCACTGGTTAAGTTCAAATCTGGGTCTGCTCTTACTATGAAACGTTGGCCTTAGTTCTGTAAAATGAGATTACTAATGGTGTCTAGCTTTTAGGGTCATTATGAGGATTAAATAACTTAAAAAAAAGAATAAATAAGTTATTATTTGTAAAGAACAGTACCTAGCAAATACTAAATACAGTATTAGTGTTTGTTAAATAAATCCGTGTATGTGTGTGTGTGTGTGCGCGCGCACGTGTGCAGAACAAAGTCTAGGAAGGAATACAACACAGTATTAAGTTACTTTAAAATGTTTCCTCTTTTTGTTTAGCCACATCTAGGTTTTCCTCAACAGGCATGTATTTCTGGTGTAATCTAAAAACCTATTCAAAAACTCCTAACTACTTTGCATTGAGAGTCTGTTTTCAAAAATTTGTACTTTAAACAAAATGTATGCCTTAGTACAATTCCCTGACTTCCACAGGAACATAGCTCTAATTATACTATGAAAGTCAATAGAAAAACAGGTGTCAGTATGTGGAAGTTCTATTAACAGCAATTTTCTGGAACCACAGAGCTGGCAACACTTGTAGCCAAAATCTTGAGAATGAGGTAAAATATTTAACTGTTGTTATGCACATTTTACTTTGCATGCATGCTCTGAAAATATTTTGTTTTCTAATATGACTGAAATTTGTCTCCTTAAATAAGATAAAGTTGTCCCCTGCTTCTTTGGGCCAGGCTCAAAAGTCAATGAACGATAAGCTCTGGCTTCTAATATTACAACCATGGGGGAGACAAATCATTGAGGAGCAGCGCTGCTTTTGATGGACAAGGGTAGGGGTGAGACCAGGTCACTTTCTGGTATTGTTGTCACTGCAACAACCTTGCTGCCTGTATCCAACCCCTTTTATTTGCTCTGGCTGAGAAGAAGCCTTGGCAAGGATTTACTCAGAAAAAATCAAGAGCAATTGTTAATACCCATGTCTAGAACTGGCCACAGCCAACACAGCTGAAGAATTCCATGCCTGAGAACAAGGGTGGGAGAACAGTGGGATCACTTCCTTTTTTATTCTCCATATTCATCATATGGGCTTTTTTTTTTTTGTGCGTGGGGAAGGGGTGCTTTGAGTCACTTGGGGAGGATGGAGAAGACTCCTCTGGATGGTGCACATTCTATAACAGGTACCTAACTCCAGGGAAGTTAGGAAAGGCGTCCCTCAGGAGGTTGAGTTTAAGAACAGAAGGATGAATGAGATTATGTTAGTGGGAGGGGTAAAAGAGGCTATTCTGGGTAGTGGGAACAGCATGCAAAAACTCAAGGTAACAGCCTCAGAACTATCAAAGAATAATAAATAAAACATCTACTCTAAAAATTACAAAATATTGCTGAGATTAATTAAAGGAGATCTAAATGCATGGAAAGGTACATTACGTTCATGGATTGTAAGACTCAATATTGTTAACGTGTCCATTTCCCCTAAACTGATCTAAAGATTCCAGGCAATACCAAAAATCTCAGCAGCCTTTTTGTTTTTAAAAGAAACTGATAAGCCAATTAAAAAATTTATATGGAAAAACAATGGATTTAGAACAGCCAAAATAATCTGCAAAATAAAAAGTGAAATTGGAAGACAAACTACCTAATTTCAAGACTTACTATAAAGCTCCAATAATCAAACAGATGAATGGAACAGACCAGAGAATTCAGAAATAGACTCATACATATACATCTATCGTTTTTCAACTGAGAATTCAGTTGAAAGTCAATTCAATGAGGAGGAAAGTTTTTTAAACAAATGGCACTGAAACAACTGTATATTCCTCAAAACTTACCTCTATAAGTGAATATTGATTTGAGATGAATCATAGACCTAAATGTAAAAAGCTAGAACCATAACGTTTCTATAAGAACATAGGAAGAATTTTTATAATCTTAGGGTAGGTAAAGATTTATTAGAGAGGACACAGAAAATATTAACCATAAAAGAAAAATATAAATTAGGCTTATTAAAAATTGAAACATTCATTATAAAAATGAGTAAGCAAGCCACAGACTGGGAAAAATAGTCTCAATACATTTATATGACATTGGACTCATATCCAGAATATATAATCAACAATAAAAAACCCCAAATTACCTAATTTTAAAAATGAGCAAAAGACTTGAGTAGACACTTTATAAATATGCTTAACATACTAGTTATCAGAGAAATGAAAATTAAAACCACAATGAGATACCATTTCACATCCACCAGAATGGTAAAAATTTAAAAAACTGACATCAAATGTTGGTGAGGATTTAGAGAACTAGACCCTTTATACGTTGCTGGTGGGAATATAAAATGGTACAACAACTTTGGAAAATTGTTTGGCAACTGACATTCATTTCTTCAATGACCCAGCAATTCTACTACTGGGTATTTATCCAAGAGAAATGAAAATATATGTCTACAAAAAGACTTGTACAATGTACAAAGACTTGTACATTCATAGACCTTATTCTTAATATCCTCAAAGTGAAAACAATCCAAATAAATACCAATAGGAGAATGGATAAACACATTTTGATATATTTATATAATGAAATACTACTTAGGAATAAGAAGAAAGCATTGAGACACACAACAAAGTGGATATTTCTCAAAAAATACCATGTTGAGCAAAAGAAGCCAGACACAAAAGACTACATACTAAATGACTTCATGTATGTGAAGGACAAAAATAGGCAAAACAAATGTAGGGTGATAGAAATCAGAGAGTGGTTGCCTTTGGGGTGGGGGAAATTGAACTGAAAGAACATGAGAGAATTTTCTGGACTGACAGAAATATTGTATATCTTATTTCTGGTGGTGGTTGCACGAGTATATATGGTTGTCAAAACTTCTCAAACTGAACACTTAAAATCTGCTATTTTATTGGCTGTAAATTTTTCCTCAATTGAAAAAGAAAGCCCTGGTTAAAAGAGCATGGTGTGTTTATACGTGCAAATGACTAAGATACTCATGGCTGATGGTTAATTCTTTTCTTTAATTTTATCCCAGAAAGCAAGAGTTCAAACCCCCGTCCCCTTTATAAATTATTCCTGTATTTTAATCCACAGTGATGAAAGAGTTATTTATTAAAGCCCTTTCTCCTCATGATATGTGTCATACGGGGGGTTGAAAACATCAAAATTGATGAAATAAATCTCAGCTCAAGTGGAATAACCCAGGACACGTAAAAAATAATTAGCAGCATGTGAGAAAAGACCTGCCATCTGGTTTTAAAAACTTTGGCTGGTGGAATAAGAACAATTTGGGTGGAGAGAACTACTCAAATAAGCTTCCATACTCAACTCCTTCCACCTGCAATTTATACTCAGTACGTTTTACCAAAAAAATAAAAATAAAAAATGATTGGTATCCGAAAAACAAATCCTGTGACCATACATTATATTATGATGTAAAGAACTTAACTAATTCATGAATCTTTCTCTTGTACATAATTTACTTTTACAGGCAAGGCACTGTGTCTATTGCAACTCATCTTTGTATCCTTAGATGAATCTAGGTCAGGATCTTGAAAATAATGGATCTGCAACAATTATTTATTGACTTGAATTAATAAATCAATGTATTTACTGCTTAGTTAGAATTTAGGTCCAAATTACATGTTCCTGTAATGGGAAATTTACTGAAATTGTTTAATGCCTTCATATAAGATGTTTGAACCAGCAATGATCTTATTTGGTAATTTATGAGAAATATGTTTAAAGGAGTATATGAAATGATATATAAGTCCAACTCACCCTGGCTTAAAAATATAAGCACACTGTAACTATCTGACTAGATTTTTGAAAAAATTATTTAAAAAGTACAATTGTTAAAAATATAAAAAACAAACAAACAAACCCCACTGAGTCTAGTTTTGGTCTCCACTTGAATCTCTAAATGATTTTAAGGCCGCAAGTACATTCTTTTGAACTGAACCCCACACTGGCAAGATCAGAAAAGCTGTGAACTGAGAAAGAAATCACTATTCCAGTAATGGAAACTCCTCTTGTGAGTATCACTCTGCTGGCAGCTGAGACTTCAGGGGATTCTCACTATGAAAACCAGCAGTCCTTTAATCACAATTACAAGAGCATTTGTGATGCTTTGCAGGCAGCCTTCCTCCAAGACTTTCCTGCTGTGTTCTTCCCTGAGCACAATAGGTTCAAGATGGCTAATGCTGTTTCCTAGTTATGCCAAGACCCTCCTGGATGCCACTGGGCTTTCATCACAGAGATGGATGGCAAAACATCAAACGTGGAATATCTCATTCTAAATGGGGACTCCCACAATCATGTTATTTTTGGGAGAGCAGCTCTCTGGCTCCATGGACATCACTTGAATGGAGTAGCCACGTTCTTCTGCAGCTCTTGCTCGATCCAGATCCACCAGGAACATGCACTGTTTTCCTGAAATACAGTAAAATGGTAACATGAGACACTCTTCAGCTAACAGTGCAGCTTCAATTTGTTTAAGGGACTCTCTACAATGACAAAATCTACGAGTACTACGCAAAATGATGTTTGCCCCCAAGTTCTGTTCCGTCTCTTTCAATTTAATTCTTGATCAGTATGGACAGAAGACAATTACAAATATAGGACATTTCACAGATTTGTTTCTGCTAG